CCCCCCCCCCCCCCCCCCCCGCTCCTCTGTGCTCCCCGCAGTGAGGGTCTTCGGGGGACGGGTCACTTTGCAAAAATCTCTCTTCCCTTCAAGCCTTTGCAGCTTGGCTTCAAAACAGCACGGGGTTTCATTCCGAAGCAATCTTTCCTGTCCAACAGGCTGTCAAGTAAAACAATTCCGTCTCCCTACCCTTGGAAAATTCTGGACCCTGGGGCGCGGGGAAATGCTGGGGATTTTGTGGGGTTGAGGTCTGGGGGGATGGGTGGAACTTGTTTTGATTTTAATGAACTGCCCTCTTCCTGTTTTGTCCATGGCCGCCTCAGAAAGAAGGGTGAGTGTGCGTCTGTAAATCGGCATGAATTAAGTCGCTTGGTGAGAGTGGGGAGCACGAACTTTGGGTAGAGCAGAGTGAGAATGGAGGGAGAGTACGTGAGATGTGAATTTCCAGCTTTTGGAAACACAAGGGGAAAGAATGTTTCACGGAAACTCGAATGGTCTCCTGAATTTGTGTCGTGTTGACTTTTTGTAATATTTTACAGGATATTAGATGGAGAGGATTTGAAGACAGGAATCTCAAACCAACCAACCAACCTGTCAAAATCTAACAGCCACTCCATTCGCCAAGACCGAGTCTTATAGGCCTCTGTATCTTGAAGGAGAACTACCATTCTATCCGAACTGCTACAAAAGCTCATCCTGGCTCACAAAGCACAAAATTGAAGTGAGATTGTTGCTGTGACTGTGAAGAGTTTTAACCTGTTACAGAGCTGTAAAACAATCTCCCCATTCACAGCAGGAAAACTGTAGAAGTGTTGTGGTGGATAAAATTAAACCTGGTCACTATGGAGAAACCGTGGAAATGTGAGGACTGTGGGAAAGGATTCAAGGCCCCATCTGAGCTTGAGATTCATCGACGGAGTCACACTGGAGAAAGGCCATTCACCTGCTCCGTGTGTGGGAAGGGATTTAGTGATTCATCCAACTTATTGATGCACCAGCGGGTTCACACTGGAGAAAGGCCATTCACCTGCTCTGAGTGTGGAAAAGGATTCAGTAGATCATCCAACCTGCAAGCACACCAGCGTGTTCACACAGGGGAGAGGCCATTCACTTGCTCTACGTGTGGGAAGGGATTTACTTTGTTATCCCACCTACAGATGCACCAGCGTGTTCACACAGGGGAAAGACCATTCATCTGCTCTATGTGTGGGAAGGCATTCACTATTTTGTCCAATCTGCAAAAACACCATCGAGTTCACACTGGGGAGAGGCCTTTCACCTGTTCTGCCTGTGGAAAGGGATTCGCTCAGTTATCCCATCTGCAAACACATCAGCGAGTTCACACTGGAGAGAAGCCATTCACGTGTGCTGAGTGTGGGAAGGGATTCACGGAGCTGTCCAAACTCCAGATACATCAGAGAGTCCACTCTGGGGAGAGGCCATTTGTCTGTTCTGAGTGTGGGAAGGGATTCACTCTGTCCTCCACCCTGCTGACTCACCAGCGTGTTCACACCAACGAGAGGCCATTCATCTGCTGTGATTGTGGAAAAGGCTTTAAGGATTCGTCCAGCCTGCTGATACACCAGCGTGTGCACACTGGGGCGAGGCCCTTCATCTGCTCCACGTGTGGGAAGGGGTTCACTCAGTCATCCAGCCTGCTGACACACCAGCGAGTTCACTCTGGGGAAAGGCCATTCATTTGCTCTGAGTGTGGAAAGGCTTTCACTCAGTCATCGAACCTACGAGCGCACCAGAGAGTTCACAAGTGATGACAGGTCGAACTGTGCCGTTATGGCTGCTGTTTCTGCAGCTTAAATCGGGCTTCGTTGGAAGAATGCAAGAGGCCTCAGACAGAAATTTGAGCAGGAGAACACAATGGTGTATTGAAACGACAATTGACAGAGTTCATGTTTGTGGACTGAGCAGAGGTGTCTCCCAGCCTGCAATTGGTTCTCTCTCTGGTTTATGGAAAGCTATCCTCATTTTACATCTGCACTCAATCTGTCTTCCATCTCCTCCACTGCAAAGAAAACAACCTGAGTCTGACGTCTGAAATCGAGAGCACAGATGAGTCACGTAAAGAAAACCACATTTGATGCCAGGCCTCTACCTGAAATCTCAGGACCATACAAGTTTTCAATGTTGACACCCACTGTGACCTATTGGTAAGGATGACATGAAAGTCAAGACTGTGCGGTATGAGGTTGGGATACCTGTGTGAGAGGGCAGATGTGATGTGTTACATGTGAAGCCATGAACATGGGGTTTTCATGATGAACTCGCACTGAAGAGCAGGTCCCAAACATGTGCAGCTCCTTGAAAAACAGCTGAACGTGAAATGGTTAATGTGGTCTGGGGAATGAGACAACATTGTAACATCATCAAGATTGTAACACGTGCCTCAGAGACAAGCTGACTTTAAATGATCAGGAGAGAATTCAGCCCACGGGAAATGGTCAGAAAGTGAGGTAGATTAATGTGCAAGGGATGACAATTTGCATTGGGACAATTAAGGCAATATTATGGAGAGAAAATATTGAGTAAGAACTGTCCACAGGTTGGTCATGCGTAAAGAGAATGCTGGAGAATCTTTTACGTCTGTCCATGACCCATTGCTTGAAGCTTGTATATCTGTGTACAATTAACTTCGACTTTCCAGCACTTCTTCAGGAAATGGGACCCTAGGCAGCCCAGAACAGAACTAGAAAATAAGTGTGAAGTTGCGTGAGGGTCAGAGAGACCTCCTCCCCCTCAAAGTGTGAACTGTAAACATACAGAGGTACATCTACTTTGGGTTTTCTTACTAGTCATTATTAAGTACTTTATCCTGTCTTTTTTTATATTCATTTATGAGATGAGGGTGTCACTGGCTAGGCAGCATTTATTGCCCATTCGTAATTGCCCAGAGTGCAGTTCAGAGTCAGCTACATTGCTCTGGGTCAGGAGTCGCATGTAGGCCAGACCAGGTAAGGATGGCAGTTTCCTACCTTAAAGGACATTAGTGAACCAGATAGGTTTCCTCTGACAATTGGCAATGGTCATCATTAGGTTCTTAATTCCAGATATTTTATTGGATTCAAATTCCACCATCTGCCATGGTGGGATTTGAACCTGGATCCCCAGAATGTTATCTGGGTCTCTGGATTAACAGTCTAGCGTTAATGCCACTAGGCCATTGCCTCCCCTATTACACTCTGGATAAAGATGGTTAACAGGTGACAAGATGGAAACTGTAGCTTGGTCCTTCATTCCTAGACTGTTTTATCGATCCTAAAGGCTGTCTTGCCAAATATATGAATAGGATGGGAATAGAGGGATACGGTCCCCGGAAGGGTAGGGGGTTTTAGTTGTGAAGAGCAGCACGTCGGTGCAGGCTTGGAGGGCCAAAGAGCCTGTTCCTGTACTGTAATTTTCTTTGTTCTTTGTGTAAGGTGGGGGGCCACACTTCAGCAGAACTGAGAACAAATCATTTGCTCTACAAGAACAGGGAGATCAACAGCTCCCAGAGGTCAGAAAACAACAGGGTCTTGAATCCTCAACAATACCAGGTGTCAAGGCCGCTGGGATTTCACTGGTAGTGATGGGAATGCTGACTCCCTGCATCTAGAATTGGTGAGGGAGACCAATTGTCCGAGAGTTTGACGTGACTTGGGCAGGTTCTGTTGGTTCAACGGCAGGTTTTGAAATTGATTTGTTCAAATGATCCTCAGCAATGATTATGGGTTCAAGTCTGTCTCCTTCTGTCCTTTGCAATGTCAAGCAGTACAAGAAGGGATTCCCTGAGCTTAAGAGATTTGTCGAGGGTTTACACATTGCACTGATTGGCGCCATGGCCTGTGGGGCAGATGTGGAGATTGTGCTTCTCCCTAGAGTGTAAAGATGCTGCTGCTGTGTTTTGAGACGATTGGTCAAGCATCGGCATATGTCAAGGTCTTATTTACACTGAATCAAATATCAACAGTGCCACCAACAAAGGTGACCACTTCCAATATATTTTCTAACATCACTGTGTCAAAAAAAAAGTAAATCTCATCTCCCACGCCTGGCTTCTTTGCCAATGATCTTAGAGAGACCCCATTCTGCTAAGGAGTTGCCTACCCCTCTTACCCACTTTCCCTAAAAGACACAAATTTAACCAGGAAAACGTGAGAGTACATCTGGAGTACTGTGTCCAATATAGGTCATCTTAGTTAAGGTTGCTTATATGTGTAAGCCGTTCAGAGAAAGTTTGAGGCAAATACAGGCAGTTTGTCTTGTAACTTACTACAGGAAAGACTTGTATTCGCTGGAGTTTTTAAGAGCAATATGTAAAATCCTGAGGGGTCTTTACAACATGGTGGATATGCAGGGGATAATTTTTCTTCCAGGCGAATTTAGAATGAAGTTTAAAAATCAGAAACTTATAACAGATGAGGTGTTTTTTTTTTCTCTGAGGGTTACGAGTCTTTGGAGCTTTCTTCCCAAAATAGTGATGAAAACAAAGCCCTTTTCCAGCCTCACACTTATAGACTCTGGCTTCCAGCATCTGCAGTCCTTGTTGTCTCCAAGTCCTTAAATATGTAGTCCTTAACAAAGGTAGGTAGATTCTGAGGAAAGGTCACCGGACCCAAAACGTTAACTCTGATTTTTTTTTCTTCACCGATGCTGCCAGACCTGCTGAGCTTTTCCAGCGACTTCTGTTTTTGTTATAGGTAGATTCTTATTAGACAAGGAGTTGAAAGGTTCTTAGGGGTAGGCGAGAATGTGGATTTGAGGTTACAATCAGGTCACCCACAGTCCCATGAAATGGCAGAGTAGGCTTTAGAGGCTGATAGGTCTCTTCTGCTGCTTGTTTGTATGTTGATAAGTTCCTTTTTTTTAAGTGTCAGCAAGTGTGGTTATACTACAGACGGTCGCTATTGTGAATCATTAAAAGGGATTGAGCTCCAGTTGTACCAATAACTTCTTCTTTCACCCCTTTTCAAATGACTTGCTCAAATCTATACACTCAATAATGTTTTTTTAAATCAGAATTATTGTGATTTGGAATTCAGCGCCTGAAAGAAGCTGGAAACAAATTCAACTGGAACCTTCAAAAGGGAATTGGTCAGATTTTAGGAAAGGATAGAAAATTGCTGGATAATGCTATGAATTTGTAAGCTCTTTCAAAGAATCAGCATAAATATTTTCTCTGTTGTTTATCTTACCTATATATAGATTTTTATTCTTTTCTATAAGAAACTTTGATGTTCTTCTGTTAAAAAAAATTGGCAGCCAGGCATTCAAAAAGGAGCTGGGGAGAGTATAGGTCTAACGTGTACCCTTTAGAGGGAAATGTAGGAGCAATCTTGGATGTCTGGGACAATTCAGGACTGGATAAAGAAGAAGAGTAGGTCTTTAGCAAGTCCAAAGGAAGCATTTCAGCTGCGGAATACAAGAAGTGCAGGAGGGACCTTAAGAACGCAATTAGAAGAACAAAAAGGGGGCATGAGAAGGGTCTTGCGAAGACGATTAGGGAAAATCCTAAGATATTTTATAAATGCATTAAAAAGAAGAGGTTAACCAGGGACCAACAGGGCAACCTGTGTGTGAAGCCACGGGATATTAGAAGGGTGTTGAATGAATACTTCTCTACGGTCTTCACTCTGCAAAAAGAAAACATAGGTACGGAATTCAGAAGAAGGAACTGTGAGGAACTTGCACAGTTTGACACAGGAAATGAGGAGGTGTTGGAGGCTCTGTCAGGCTTAAAAATAGACGAATTCCCTGGCTTGGCCAAATTGCATCCAAGGCTGCAATGGGAGGCGAGACAGGAAATAGCAGGGGCTCTGACATAAATTTTTAATTTCTCTCTAGCCACACTGGAAGAGCTAGAGGATTGGAGGACGTCTAACATGGTTCACTTTTTAAAAGGGATGGTAGAGATGAACCAGGAAATTACAGACCAATGAGTCTCACGTTAGCAGTAGGGAAACTATTGGATAAAATTCTGAAGGAGCGAATTAATACCCACTTGAAAAGGCATGGGTTCACTAGGGATAGACAGCGTTGCCTTGTCAGAGGGAGGTCATGCGTAACAAATTTGTTAGAATTTTTTGAAAGTGTGATCAAGTGTGTGGATGAGGGAAGTTCTGTTGATGTAGTTTGTGTGGACTTTAGCAAAGCTTTTGACAAGGTCCCACATGCGAGACTGATTAAGAAGTTTAGAGCACGTGGAATTCAGGGAAACATGGTGAGATGGATCAGAAACTGGTTTAGTAATAGAACACAAAGGATAGCGGTAGAAATCTGTTTAACGGACAGAAGACCTGTGTCTAGAGGTGTGCCACAGGATCAGAACTGGGTACCTTAATGTTTGTTATAATGATCATAAATGGTGCAGATGACAATGTGGGGGGAATGTTAAGCACATTTGCAGATGACACCAAGATTGGTAGAGCGGTTAATAGTGAAATTTGGTTATAGATTACAGGAGGATATAGATGGGTTGTTCAGATGGGCAGACCAGTGGCAGATAATATTTAACCCTGATAAGTGCGAGGTGATGCACTTTGGAAGAAGAAACAAAATGAGGGAGTATTTAATGAATGGCAGGACGCCAGGTAGCTTAGAAGAACAGAGGGATCTTGGGGTAATTATTCATTATCCCCAAATTCAGCAGAGGACGTGAATAGGATAGATAAGAAGGCATATGGGACACTTAGAGTCATAGGCATGTACAGCATGAAAACAGACCCTTCAGTCCAACTCGTCCATGCTAACCTAGTCCCAGTTGCCAGCATTTGGCCCATATCTCTCTAAATCCTTCCTATTCACGTATTCATCCAGATGCCTTTTAAATGTTGTGATTGTACCAGCCTCCACCACTTCCTCTGGCAGCTCATTCCATACATTCACCACCTTCTGTGTGAAAAAGTTGCCCCTTGGGTCCCTTTTAAATGTTTCCCCCTCTCCTTAAACCTATGACCTCTAGCTTTGGACTCCACTACCCTGGGGAAAAATAGGCTATTCACCCTATCCATACCCCTCATGATATTATAAACTTCTATAAAGTAACCCCTCAGCCTCCGACGCTCCAGGGAAAATAGCCGCAGCCTATTCAGCCTCTCCCTATAGCTCAAACCCTCCAACTCTGGCAACATTCTAGTAAATCTTTTTGTGCCCTTTCAAGTTTCACAACATCCTTCATATAGCAGGGAGATCAGGATTGAATATAGTGTTCCAAAAGTGGCCTAACCAAAGTCCTGTAAAGCTGCAACATGACATCCCAACTCCTACACTTGCCAATAAAGGCAAGCATGCTTCTTTCATCAGTCGTAGCACAGAGTATAAGAGCAAGGAGTAGATCATAGAATCCCAACAGTGTAGAAATAGGCCATTCTGCCCATCGAGTCCACACCAAACCTCTGAAAAGCATCCCACCCAGACCCACTATCCCTGTAACACTGCATTTCCCATGGCTAACCCACCTAGCGTGCACACAGTGGGTAATTTAGCATGGCTAATCTGCCCATCTTTGGAGTGTGGGAGGAAACCAGAGCACCCAAAGGAAACCCACACAGAGATGGGGAGAGTGTCTATGTGGAGTTTGCACAGTCACCCAAGGCTGGAATCAAACCTGTGTCTTCAGTGCTGTGAGGCAGTAGTGCTTAGCACTGAGCCACCATGCCATCCTTAGTAATGTTGGAGTTGTGTAGAGTGTTGATCAGACCACAAGTGAGTACTGTGTGCTATTCTGGTCATCCCATTACAGAAAGGATGTGATAGTGCTCGAATGGGTACAGAGGAGGTTCACCAGGATGTTGCCTGGGATGGAGAAATTGAGCTATAAGGAGAGACTAGATAGGCTTGGATGGTTTTCTCTAGAGCAGGGGCTACCTGATTGAGGTGTATAAGATTATGAGCGGCATAGACAGGGTGAATAGAGATCAGCTGTTCCTCTTGGTTGAGGGGTCAAACATGAGAGGGCATAGTTTTAGAGGTAAGGGGCAGGAAATTCAAAGGGGATTTTGGAAAATAAAACCTTTTCACTCAGCAAATGGTGAGAATCTGGATTGCACTGCTTGGGAAGTAGTGGAGGCTGGAAACCTTTAAAAAAAGTATTTAGATGAGTGCTTCAAATATCATAACTTTCAAGGATATGGGACAAGTGCAGGAAATTGTGATTAGCGCACTTTTAGTGGTAGTTATGTCAGTGCAGACTCTATGGGCCAAAGGGCCTTTTCTGAAGCGTTAACTCTGATTTTTTTTTTCTTCGTGGGTGCTGCCGGACCTGCTGAGCTTTCCCAGCAACTTCTGTTCTTGTTCCTGATTTACAGCATCCACAGTTCTTTTGTTTTTTATGAATAAGAAATGTTTGGAGGGATATGGACCAGGAGCAGGCAGGTGGGACTAGTTTAGTTTGGGATTATGGTCGGCATGGACTGGTTGGACCGAAGGGTCTGTTTCCATGCTGTGTGACTCTCTGGCTCTCTGTGCTGTATGAATCTATAAGACTAGAAGTCAGAGCATTTAACTCTCAGCAAAGGCTGGGGAGCTTTTGTCTAGAAAAAAGGAGACCAAAGTGTGTCCTGATGGAAGTCTTTATTCTATGGATTCCATGGTTCTATGATTTAAGATAATTAAGGCTTCAATAATCCAGTAGGGAATTCAAGAGGAATCTCTTTACCCAGTGAGTGGTGAGAATGTGGAATTCACTCCCTCAGCAAGTGGTGCAGGAATATATTTAAGGGAATGCTGGATACATACATGAGGGAGAAAAGATTAGAAGGATATGCTGATGGATGGAAGATGAGGAGAGGTGCGAGATAGTGGTGAACTTCAGAAACTGTTCAAAAACCGAAGGAAGCAGCAATAACCTATCTGGAATAAACTATTAAAGACAAGGCCAAACTAATACAGGAATTGAAAGCAACTAGCCATGTATGAGAGAAGGAATCAAAACTTCATGAACAAAACTGTTTTGACATCTACTTGATAACTGGATGCCTCACGCCACAAGGATAAATGGCTGCTCTGCTGAATAATTTTAGGAGTTAATCACAGGAAAGCTGTGTATTGAAACAGACAGTTAAGGCCAAATGTAACAAGGACAAAGAAGTTACTTCTGATTAGAAGGCAAGCTGCAGACATGGATGAAAGAATCGAAAGATTCATCAATAATATTACATCATAGACCTGAAGGACGAAAATCTGTGTAAGAATCCAACACCAAAGCCCTTCATTAGCAGAACTTCAAAGAACAACACTGCTCAAGGATTGAATCCTGAGGAGGCAGCTCACCACCACCTTCTCAAGGGCAACTAAGGATGGGGAAGAAATGCTGGCCAGCCAGCGATGCCACAAATGAATAGAAAAAAAAACATTTCCAGAGACATACAGTGTTAGTTGGAATCATAGCTAAATTCCACCATTAATCAGGTAGTGGCCAGGTTGAGTTTTGAAGCTTAACTTGCTTACTTGAAGGGTCTTATTTTGGTTGTTGCATGCAATAAAGTTTTAAATAATTGTTTCAATACTTGATTGTCTGTGAGATTTCTTAATAAATAGCCAAATTAAAGGTAACTTGTGGTGACTTACGGCTGGGTGCAAGCTCATAAGGAGCATAAGTGCTGACAGAGGTCAATTGAGCCAATTGGCCTAGTCCTGTACTGTAGACTCAATGGAACAGAGACACGTGTTTATTTCAGAATTTATTTAATTGAAGTGGTAGAGAAAACATCGTTTACTATCCGGAATTAAATAAATGTACTTCATCAGCTTCTATGGTTCATTTCAGTGGAAATGTGCATTGCCAGGTTCAAACAATATCAGGTCCACTGGAAGTAAAGTGTTGAGAGCGGCCAGTCAAATAGAAAGAAACCTTCCTGTCCTCCAACTATCAGAATGAACCTGGTTCAGTCCTGGATGTGATTACCAGCAGAATCCAATCTCTGTAATTATGAATCCACTGGAATCTGAGTGGGGCAGAGAATTCAGTGAATACCACATGCACCGTCTCCTTAGTGTGGATTCTTCCGCGTTGGCACGGTGGCTCAGTGGTTAGCACTGCCTCACAGCAGCAAGGACCTGAATTCGATTCCAGCCTTGGGCGACTGTCTGTGTGGAGTTTGCACGTTCTTCCCTGTGTCTGCATAGGTTTCCGCTGGGTGCTCCAGTTTGCTCCCACAGTCCAAGGATGTGCAAGTTAAGTGGGTTGGCTATGCTGAATTACCCATAGTGTTCAGGGATGTATAGGTTAGGTTGTTGGTCATGGGAAATATAGAGATAGGGCGGGGGGGGGGGAGGTGGTGGAGGAGGGGGGATGCTCTTTGGAGGGTTGGTGTCGACTTGTTGGGCCAAATGGCCTTTTTCATGCTGTGGGGATTCCATAGAAGTTGTTGACATGCTTGTCGAGCTGGCTTGTTCTTGTTCAGACGTTTCGTCACCATGCTAGGTGACATCATCAGTGGAGCCTCCGATGAAGTGATGTTATTATACTCCGCTTGGACTTTATACTGCCCGGTCCATTATGGTGAGTACTGTCATTTCCAGTTTTGATCTGTGTGGGTTTGTATATGGGGTCCAATTTACATGTTTGTTGATTGCAATATGGGTGGAGAACCATGCCTCTAGGAATTCCCGTTCGTGCCTATGTTTGGCTTGGGCTACTTTGGTTACCTTGTCCCAGTTAAACTGATGGCCTTCATTGGCTGAGTGTATCGATATTAAGGAGAGTTTGTTGCGCCGTTTTGCTGCTAGTTGATTTTCATGTATTCTGATGGCTAGTTTCCTTCCTGTCTATCCGATGTAATGTTTGTGGCAGTCGTTGCATGGTATTTTGTAAACCACGTTCGTTCTTCATGTTGTGTGAATAGGGTTTTTAATCCTTGTAAGTGTTTGTCGTAGAGTTGCTGTGGGCTTGTGGGCCACCATGATTCCTAGTGGTCTTAGGAATCTTGTTGTCAGTTCTGATATGTTCTTGATGTAGGGCAGTGTGGCCAGTGTTCAGGGCATACTGTGTCCTCCTGTTGTTGTCTGTTTAGTAGGCACCTGCAGATGAAGTTGTGGGGATATCCATTTATAGCAATAATTTTGTATAGGTGCTCTTTCTTTCCTACATAGTTCTGGAGTGTTGCAGTTTGTCCTGGCCTGTTTAAATAGTGTCTTAATGCAGCTTTGTTTGTGGATGTTGGGGTGGTTGCTGTGGAAGTTGAGGATTTGATCAGTGTGGGTTGCTTTTCTGTACGCTGACGTTTGGAACTCCCTGTTGGTCATACGCTCAACTTTAGCAATCAGAATGCATGAACATCAACCAGGAGCAAAACAGCACGACAAACTCTCCTTAATATCGGTATACGCAGACAACGAAAGCCATCAGTTTAACTGGGACAAAGTAACCATAGTAGCCCAAGCCAAACATAGACACACACGGGAATTCCTAGAGGCATGGTTCTCTACCCATACTTCAATCAACAAACATATAAAATTGGACCCCATATATAAACCCATACAGATCAAAACCGGAAATGACACTCCATAACAGACCGGACAGTATAAATTCCAAGTGGAGCAGAATAACATGGCTTCATTGGAGGGTCCACTGATAATGTCACCGAGCATGGTGATGAAACGTCTGAACGAGAACAAGCCAGCTCGGCGAGCAAGTCAACAACCTCATCCACAACCCGAGCTACAGATCTTTGCCAAAACTTTAATTCTATAGAAGTCTCAGCCAATTGGATGACTGACTAAATCCTTTCCCACATTGGGAACAGATGAACTCACTGGTGTATCAGCAGGTTGGATGACTTAGTCAATCGCTTCCCCCATTCAGAACAAGGGAATGGCTTTTCCCCAGTCTGAATCCTCTGGTGTGTCAACAGGTAGGTTGACCGAGTGAAGTTCTCCCCACATTCAGAGCAGGTGACTGGCCTGTCTCCAGTGTGAACTTGTTAGTGTGTCTGCAGATTGAATATCCAACTAAATCCCATTACATACTCTGAGCATGTGGATGGACTCTCCCCAGTGCGACTACATCAATGAATCGCCAGCTGAGATGCAGATCGTAACCCTTTCCCACAGTCAATACGTTTTCGCAGTTCCTCCGTGGTGTCGGTGTCCTTGTGCCTCTCCAAATTTGATGAGTAATTGAAACCTTGCCCACACAAAGAACACGTGTACAGTCTCTGCCCATGAGAATGGTGTGTTTCTTTTAGCCTGTGTATCTAATTTAAAATCTTTCCATCGTCAGTGCACTGAAACACTCTGTGTCTTGGTGCTCTTTCAATCACACTGATATTTCAAATATTTTACCACTGACAAAAAGCATAAACGTTCAGACTCTGATGAATCAAGGTTAGATCTTGTTATATTGTGTTACCTTGACATAATGTTTGGTTTGCAATTTCTGTTTTCAAATCTTCTCCTAATAAAGCAAGTCACAACTGTCAGCACTGAATAGAAATTTGAAACAAGCAATTCCAATTTATATTGAATACTTTTTTCCACTCATTCCCCAAAAGCAGTACATTTCCATCCCAAACACTCTCCCTCTGCTGTACCTTATATACACACCCCATTCTCCTGAAGGTGCTAGTTAATGCTGATCAATGATCCATACTCAATTATTCCTGTCCCAGACACAGATCTAGAAATGTCATGTAGCTGTCTAAACACAGACATTGAAAATAGGAGCATTCAACCTGAAGGATATGGGCCAAGGGCAGGGAAATGGGGTTAGCATGTATGGACATTTTGGACCAGTTTGGGAAGAAGGGCCTGTCACTGTGCTGTGGGACTCTATGACTCTCTATGGTTCATCCCATCGAGCCTGCTCCAGTATTACCCTATGTGACTGCACTAAAATGTGTCTAACACACACAGAAATGTATGACATGTTGAAGATACTTTGGGAAATGAGGACGGACAGCATTTCATCAGCGAGTCTTCGTAGTTATGGACCTGTAGCCTACACGATTGGGAGACGTGGAGACAGTCCATCATTTGAAAATTATATTGCACAGGCACATGGGAAAAAAGATAAGCTACATGGATATAGAGGGGGTATGACACTGACTGCATGCGCCTACAGAGACTGCAGGTACCAGAGATTAGTTCTGTTTCAGATTTACAGTATCTGTAGTATTCCGGCAAGGGAGAGTCATTACTTTGCTCTGAGAGGTTGCGCAGAGGAGGAGGTTTTACTTTGAGGCCCATTGCAGGCCAGTATTGTAACGTTCAACAATTGGGGGTGGGACTTGCCTAATGCAGCCAATAGAATCACGGAGCCTGCCGCTGACATCCTCGGGTCCCACCCTCCAAGGCAGCTTTTGGGATACACAACACCGCAGAGTCGCCAAGCAGAGGCTGATAGCCAAGTCCGGTACTCATGAGGACGACCTCAAACTGGATCTTGGGTTCACGTCACACCACAGGTGATTCCACCACACTGTACACTCTCACTCACACACAGATCCTCCCTCGCGCGTGCACGCACTCACTCTCCCATGCATGTTCCCTCACACACACACACGCACACAAATCTAATTGGGTGAATTTGCACTTGCAGATTTGTATTTGCAGATACATCCTATTTTGTCCAAAAAGTCCTCAATTTGTAGACAGTCAATGTGGCATTTTATAAGTTCCTACGTTGGAAATAAAATCAGTCTGACTCCAAGTTAATACACAGCCAGATTCTAAACAAGGCCTCACACCTAAAATGCATTGTCTGACCCGAGATGTCAACTCTCAGGGCAGCAACTTGAAATAAATTCTGGGATTTGCATATTAATCCTTTCTAACTGATTAAAGATTTAACAGTCATCTGAGGTTTGTTCAATACATTTGCATCAGTTCTATGATGCTTTGATCTTTTGCCTATAAATTCTGTGTCTGATGCCACCTCTCTGACACCCGAAGGAGGAGCAAGACTCCAAAAGCTTGTCTTCAAATAAACCTCTTGGACTATAACCTGGTGTCGTGTGATTTTTGACCTCGGAGGTGATGACAGAGAAGACAGAGAGAGAGAAAAAACACTTCGAAAGGAACTAACTTGTGTTGAGTTTATAAAATGATTTCACACTGTCCTTAACACAAAGTTGACCCATTTGACTTTTATTCAAAACAACAGTATCCAAAACTGGACTGGATTTTATTAACATTAGTAGAAAAGAACATGGATGTGAGCAAAATCTAACTCCTGGAGTCAATCGTGAACTTGCTGATGTCTCAGCAGGTGAGATAATAACATAGTGAATCCCTTCCCACACTCGGGTTAGATAAATAGCCTCTCCCAGTGTTAACTTGCTCTGAATTAACAAAGACCTCTCCTCAATATGAACTCACTGGTAAGCCAGCAGGTGGGAACACTGAGTGAATCCTTTCACATACAAGGGCCAGATGAATGACCTCTCCCCACTCTGAATGTGTCAATGTATTTCCAGCTCCAATGGGGATCTTAAACACTCCTCACATTCCCCACACTTCCATGTTTTCTCTGCTCTGACTGCACTTGTGTTTGAACAGGTCAGATAA